CAGCCCTTTTTAATTTTTATTTTAAGGCAGGGTCTTGCTAAATTGTTGAGGTTGACGAAATTCGTGACCTCCTGCCTCAGCCTCCCAGATCATACGCAGACACCATTGTGCCAGACTAACCCTGTAATCCTGAAGCCGTAACTCGCCACTCTTCCTCCCAGTCTCTGATTTCCTCTAATCTCTAAAAACTGACTCCGCTAGGTGCCTAATAAAGGCAGACTCATTTATTATTTGTATTTTTGCTCATTTCCTTAGCAAGTCTCTCCAAGGTTTGTTGGTTTTGAAGCACGGGTAGGAACCCCACTCCTTTTCACCGCTGAGTAGTATTCCGTCGTGTGTATAAACCATCATCTGTCGGCCGACACCTGGCTTGTTTCCACCTCTGGGCTGCTGGGCGCTCTGCTGCTGTGACTGTGCCCACAAATACCCACGGGCATCCTTCTTGCGATCCCTGTGGCCGTCCTCACGTGTGGTGGACAGGAGGACCACGGGGCGATTCTGTGCCCGGCTCTTCAAGGCACTGAACCCCTTCCTGGCCAGGGCTTGTTTTCTATTGAGGTGAATCTCACGTGACGTGAAGTCAGCCCCTTCAAAGGGCACCACTCGGGGAACTGGGCCCTCTCCCTGCGCTGCGGCCACCTCTGTGTCCCGTGCCTCTTCCGCCCTCCCCGGGCCCCGCCTGCCCACTGAGCTGTCACCCGCACTCCCCTGCTACCCCTGACCTCAGGGACGTTGCTGCTGGCATCGGCTTCCTGGTGTCCTCGTCACAGCAATCCTGTGACGCACTCCGTAATCCTGTGCGGACGCCCAGGGGCCGGTCAGCTCAGGATGGAGGAGCGGGCTGGGGGGGACACCCGCTCGGCCCCACTCTGCCCTGCGCCAGGGGTGGCTCCCCATGCACTGGGGGCCTCGGGACCGAGGATGATGTCCCCGCGGGGACCGCTCAGGCGGGGTGCTGAGGAAGGTTCCGGGAGCCTCCTGGCCTTGGTGCCTCTGTGCTGACCGCCATGGACCAAGAGGGTTGGGGTCTTGGCGGTCTTCTCAGCTTCCGCCTGCTGGCCGCCTTTGTCCAGGCGAGCTGTCCAGCAACGTGGCCACCTGGTGCTCCGAGAAGGGTGGGGGGCGTCAGCTGCACAGGGAGGGGGTCCAGTGGCTGCCGAGGGCGCCCCCCACGCTCGGGAAGCTCCCGGGGTCGAATGTTAGAGCCGCTCCCACCAACACCCGCGTCCTTGTCATGGGGAACAACGGAGGACGCTCCACACCTCTGCGGCGCTCCTGGGCGAGCCGCGCCTGAGCTGGGGGCAGACGAGAT